AATTTTAGATTAAAAAAAAGAATTTATACAATGTTAGAAAATTTTAGATTTAAAAAAATATGTATATATTATGCAGGGTGGGAGACCAAGACCCGAGGGGTTAAATGCCTGGGTAGACTCGTACTCCATCCCTAAAATGTCCGGGACTTGGTCGGCTCACGTGACCTGCATAAATCTCTTTGACCTATTCACAAACCACAAGATTTTGGACCATTTAATCCTGGGGAGTGATTTAGTGATGTCCTCTCCTTCAAAGATTTCAAATCTAGACCTAGCATACCTATCACACTCTGCGAGGTAGTGCCTTGCCGTTTCTTCTTTTATTTCGCAAAAACGGCAAAAGGGATCTGGTAGAATACCTATTACGGAGAGGTTAAACTTACTCAATAGTTCTAAGATTTTCGAGTGACCTATGTTATTGCACTTACAATTCCAGCTGCCTTCACTAATTAATCTGTAGCAGCTGATTAGTGCTCTGACCTTAGCCTCAATTTGTAGAGATGTGGTATGATTTCAAGTAGTTGAAAATGCTCCTGTCATCATCAAACAGCCTAGTCTTTGAAATGACCTTAATTTGTTACTATTCCCTTTATTTTCTAGACCTTTCCACCATACTAAAGCTGCGAACAATAATCTAGGTAGAATAATTGCAGTATATATCCATTTGGCTACCCATGGTTTGAGACCCCATGTTTTACCGACAGTTCTCCTACATTGTACCATAGATATTGTGCCTTTCCTGGATATGTTATTAATATGACCTTTCCAATCAAGTATCCTGTCAAGCGTCACACCAAGGAATTTGATTGAATCCACTAATTTTAATTCTATGCCCTGAAATTCAGGGTTTTTAAATTACCTAATGTTCTTCTCTTACTAACCATTATCAATTCCAGTTTAACTGGATTAATTGATAAACCTTTATGACAACACCACTCATATAGCAATCCCATAGCATTTTCCATCATTAGTGAAAGAGTCAGGGGACCCTAACTGTGAGCATTATGGTACCGTCATCTGAAAACAATTGACTGTAGAAACCTGAATTATTCAGAAGTTCTATTAAACTGTTTACATAACATCTAGCATTGTATAAATCCATTTTTTTCACATCCTACATGTATTTGTAAAATTTAAACAATGTTTATAAATCCCAGGCTCTGAAGATGATCTCAGTAAAGATCGAAACGTTGGCGCGATAAAGAAAATGTTTTTCTAAAACCTACGTCACACCAGACCGCACCTCACGATCTCCAAATAATCAATATTAACAAAGAAAAAATTCCAATTTTTCAATACTTTTCGACCTGTAGTTACGCCTGTTTTATAAATTTACACATTCTGACAAAATCTGAAGTGAATTCTTTCTCTTAGGAGACTTAGAACATTTCTACAGGTACCTACAATTGACTTGGTTAATGAATATCTATGGAGAAATTGTGGCATTCTCATACAAACTGATTCTTGTTTCGTCTGTGGACTGCTTCTCATGTTTTATTTATATTTCATAGAAACATGTTTCATACACTCAAATTTAAAAAAACGAACATTCGTATTTTGTTGTTTATTTTAAACAATGTACATGTATTTTTATCGTTATATTAATTATACCATACTTTAATATAAACCAAATTAAACAAGATCAGAAATTCCTGAATTTTAAAAACAAATATTTCTGATAAATTTCTCATCTCATAAGTGAATCTCTGAATTCATGAATATCTGATCTCGTTTAATTGTTGTTTTATATTAAAAGAAGTTTGTTGTAATTAATGTGACGATAAAAATTCATATAGTTTAAAATAAAAAAAAAATTTTTAACCACATCACGACGAAGTACGGGCCAATAAAGCGCCTTTTCAAATTTGTTTTTGATAGTCAAAACCAGCAGGCGTGAGATAGTCGGCTCAATTTTATCAGCCGAAATTGTAAATATGTAAAGTATTGTTCCATGGTAAATGGGAAGTTGCGCAAACAAGATAGCTTTTTTTTTAATTACAAGAAAAAACTCCTGAGTCACCTTTAGTTAATAAATTGCCTTAGGAAAAGGTTTTTCTTTTTTTTTCTTTTTGTATGTAAATAAATAATTAAGTAACACGCTCCACAAAAATAAAGTGTTTCGTTCATTACACATATCTGTTGTTATCTCGCATAATATTATCTAAATTTTAGTCTCTTATCTTGTAAAAATATATATCACGTCCAAAACCTATCTCAGAATTTATATCATATTGTACAAATATAAACTTTAAGAAAAAGGAAGAAAGAATATTTAACGGGAAAATAAAGGCATGGAGGCAATAAAAAGTAATAACGACTGTGTTTGTCCTTTTCTTTAAAATAATACAAACTGTTTAAATATCAATTTATGCTCGTTTTATTATTACAAATTTGCCAAAATATGAGTTTTACGAATGGACTGCATGCAAACAAATGATTTTATTATAAAACTGAATTGGACGAACATTTTTGAAAGGAAAGAATAGTTTGCCTGAAATAACCAGTAAATTTTAATAAAAACATATTTTTCTCCTGTGTTTGTCCTTATCTTATAAATAATAACGTGTTTTTTCTCCTTTGCCAGTTTGAATTTTTATCTGAGCATCGTGATTCTTGACGATTCATTATAATGGCACGTTATTGGTCTGAAGTGAAAGGAATATCTGATTTTTGTGAATAACAAACTCAATAAACATTTAACCCATTGCTTAATTACTTGTCATTGTCACTAGTTAACATTTTTCAATTTCGCCCCGGTCTCCTTTCGAATTAAAAAATATCCTTCCCTATACTATCTCATCGTGGAGTTCTTCGTCTCCGATCGCTGGTTCGAGGTGAGAATTGGCTCTGAATTCTCAGACATCAAGTCCACCAAGGCCGGCGTTCCCCAAGGCTACACACTAATCCAACTCATCTTCCCGGACGACCCCGTAAACGCCTCACATTTTGACCCTATACTTGAAGTAAGAGCAACCCAAGAACACCTAGACCTCATTACCGACTAGAGTACTCGGTAATCATACTAATTGAACAAAAAACCGACACGTGACGTTCATACTTATAAGAGTACCTGCCCACCAGTGCACATATACAGTAAGGTAATTCCTCATCTAACCAAATCCGCTGCCTTCAGTTCTACTTACATAAAACAAAAAAGACAAGAATTGTACCGAAGATACTCAAACGCCTATTTGGACCCAAATCCGTGAGTACGAACAATAAATTAACAATAAACAAGACACTAATTAGACCATTGGACTTGAGGAATCGAGCTGTGGGATTCAGCCAAGCCATCCAACATCCAAAGAATCCAATCTTTTTAGTCAAATGTCCTCCGTCGCATCCTTCTTCGCTCCCTTCTACATCGTTATCCATACCATAATCAAAGACCTAGACATCCCATTCGTGACGGACATGATCCAAACACGACTTCCTCTCCAAGCTCTTCTGCCATACCAATCCACTAGCTCAACCCCTCTCTTCAACGTCCCACTCTAACAATCCTAATGCCGCCTAAAAAGATTAACACAACCCTAAACCAATCCACCCACAATCCTAAACACTGAGTTACAGCAATGGCCGGTTCCTCTCCCCCATCGCCTTGCCCTTGGTCTGACAGGTTCCTGCCAGATATTTTATTGTTCATTACCAGCATATTGCTAAATGTATACATTTTGTACAGAAAGCAACTTTTAAAAGTACGTATATAGTAGGTGTATTTTTAATCTTCCAAAATTACTAGTATTTGCCTTGCTAGCGATTCTGTCTTCCAATCAAGACATAGCCCATGGAATTTTAATTGAGAATAGTATAAAGAAGTGAAGAGCGTAATGACCTAATACACCCAGAATAAACCGGGAAATGGAATCGATCATTACCATTGCTGGCAATTCTCCTCCCCTAAGAATATAATCACCAATTGACCATTCTTCATCAATTTCAGTTTCAATGATCCGTTCATCAATACCTTCATATCGACTTCATATTGTAAAGAGGTTTGAGCCTTCGTCCGCGACACCCAATGGGTAGTTTGACTTTAAGACTTTCTGTATGATAGTAATTAATTTACTTTATAAGACGAATTATTGGTACCAATAAACTAAATATGCTCTCCTACTGAACAATAAGGAAAAGGGAAAGTCATCAAGGTCCTCCGTGTCAACACGAAGCACCTACATATTTCGTTGGCGATGAGCCCAAAGGTTGTGGCACTCGCCCACCCTGTTTCTAAAATAACTGTTTCCAAACAAAAAATGTTGATTGCTTTTTGAAAACTTCTTCAAAAAAATGCAATAATTATGTACTAATACTTACAAAATAAACTGCAAACAAGGTTTTATTCAACCTAGCCAAGATATCTCATGAAAATAGTGTGGTACCGCAATGTAGGAATATTTATAAAAATATTTTATTAGGTTTCGAGGTCCGCATGACCAAATGAATTATTTTCAAATAATTAAGGTTTTGGTTGACATAAATTTGAAAAATGACAAAAAGGAGGGAAAATTCAAAAGGTGGGGTTGAGATGGGAAGTTAGTGTACGAGTGGACCGAAGCCACGATAGTTTAAGCGGTAGAGCCACGGCGTATTTAGCCGAAGTTCGTGGGTTCGAATCCCGCTTGTGACACTGACTTTTTCATCTCAACCAAAACCTTAATTAATTGAAAAGAATTTACAAAAACTTTTATATCTAAAATAGAAAAATCATTGCCTAATTAAGTACAGAAAAGGTTGCAGTTGACGTTTTTTTATGTAAATCTAAAGCCTATGGATGGTGAGTTCCCATACGTATTGAATAATTGAACCTCGCTTATTTTCATTACACTTCCAGTAGATTTGTTAAACTTGAAACACAGTGGTAAAAGTGCAACTAGAAACAAAATTCAATTATTTCGTGTCATCAAGACTTACGAGTTATGTTTATAATCAAGTCGCGTTTTATACAAAGCGTCCTTGTCCCCTCCTCTTTCCGACTGACAGAACTGGAGAGTTTCTTTGATGAGGCGTCAGTATTAAACCGTATTTCCACAGAATAACTGACTTTGTTAAACCAGAAATTGCTTCAGTTGACTGGCCTTCCCCTGCTCGCTGCTGGGGTGAAAAACCCTTCGTCTTAACCACCTCGGAGTGTCTGCTGCAAAATTAATTGCTGAACACAGAGGTATGAAAATCAAATAAACTCCAAGACAATCGATTGGATGAAAGGGCTTAAATCTGGGTCAAAAGACAAATAATCAATAATGTCAAACTGTGATACAGCCGTAAAAAAAATTGTATGCATACATTTTTTTTATTGTTAATAGTTACATTTCTATAATTAATTTATTCTCTTAACCCACTTAGAAAGTGATATAATAAAAGTTAAATAATATTGGACAGATATAAAATAATAAATATCCCACAAAATTAAGTACAAACTTCAAACTTGCTTTAAGTACACTATAAATATAAATCATAAATTTAATTTGTAGAATTAAATAGTCTTACGTTTAAAAAACACTTTTGTTTTCCCAGATCAATCTAAATATAAATGAAAAACATTATTAACCAAGTGCAAGAATTTGTAAATTTATGAGTTATGTTAGGGACGAGGTAAACTTTTTTGACGATTCATCGTCTCCGACGAAACAATTTTTTGTCAATGGTCGTTATCAATTAAATATGAATCATTGTTTATGCGCAGCTAGACGGGAATTCTCAAGATGTATTTTTAATTTAAACTATTTTTTTTTTCATTTTTAACTTCGTTCACTTAAATTTCATTCCCGGTATTTTGTAATTTATTATATAGCCGATTAAGATTTTTTTATAACATTGATTAGTAATAGAATTATTTTATAATATTAATATTATACATAATTGAGTATTTTTAAAGAAGCTGCACTAAGAAGATCATAAGAAAACCATCTGCAAAAAGATTTATTGCATATTACAAAATTTGTTTTTCCCTTGAAAAAATAAAACAACTGCAGTTTTACGTATTATTTAGAATTTGATATCTTTGAGTTGATACTCGACTTTCTTGCTTTTTAAAAATTGAATTACTCTTACTATAAAAATAACAAGCTTTTATACAAATAGATAAGAATTTTAATCGGGAACGACATTTCCCAGATTTTTCCCGGAAATTTTACAATTTTGAAATTATCGCACTCATTAAATCTCGATTCTGAGGTAATTTTTATCACGATTTAGGGCACGATTTTAATTTCTCATTACCTCAAAAATTCCCAAACTGACAGAACAATGTTTAATCAGCATTATTTTAAAAAAATAATACACTTACAACAAAACAGTTCATTGCTTAAAAGCTTAAAGGTCGTGATAAAATTATTTTTTAAAAATCTTCAAAATGAACCCAGCAATATTTATTATTTAAAAAATAATTTAATATGGAAATTATGACATTTTTATGTCTTTTGAATCCCGATGAATTTTTCATTTGACAGCGCCGAATTATTTCGTAGATTTTGCCTAATCCAAAATACATTTTTTCTTGCCTTATTTTAATTCAATAACCCCTGCATAGAAAACTATTTTGGTTCAGAGGTCAAGCCTTTAATAGAATCCATTCTTTAAACAATCACGCAGAACTGATCGTTCAAACTGAATATCAGATGCAACATGAAAAATACCCCACGTTATTTAGTAATTTATTAATCAAATTAATCAATAAAATGATAACTATTATTATTAAAAGAATTTTTTTATTTTAATGACATTTATCACTTAAAAATAACCCCTGCTCATTTTATTTTGGCCTTGTATATTCATTAATGCAATGCATTTCTTAACCATCACAGAATATCTGAAATTTTCTGTATAAGCAACTATGAGTAAATCTTACTTCATAGAACTCAATTTGTAAGTTGAAACATTAATTAAACCAAAATAATCACTAATTCATTAAGAAATCTTTCCAAATTGTGAAAAAAAATTTAAAACAGTACTTTAATGGTGAAGCGATACTCCAAAAGATAGCTGGTTGCCATATCTGTAGCCACAGGGAAAAGTAGACAAAATTGTCCACTTTAGATAGGAACACTATAAAAGATTTGCGCCTTTGTTCAAAATCGTGTGTTTATACCTTCAGGCATCAGCAGAATGTTTTTTATACCCAAATTTAAACATAGTGAGTATGGATAGACTCTCAGCTTGTAGATCCTGGAGGTATGGGTTCAATTCTTATTTAGCCCTGCCCCTTTATACCATTGTTATTTAATTTACACTCATAAATTTCATCTCACTATACATTCATTTTCAGATGTTGAAAACGATAAGGATTTTAAGAGTAGGATGGAGCAAGGCACAATATGCTGCATGTTTCAACACTTTCCTTCAACCCAGGCGATCTAGCAGGAATTCAGCCAGGCAGCAATCGACACAGAATGTATTTTCTTCAGTGTGGAAGGACATCGAATTGCCGAACTGCACATTGCCCGAATTAGTCTTTGAAAAGGCACCAAACTGGGCCGATAAAGTTGCCATTGCAAGTAACACATAATTTAATTTATGTATAACAATTAGGTTATTTGAACCCTCAAGGTGTCAGTTAAAAAAAAAAAAAAAGGAAGTATGTTGGGTTCAAATCCAGGGTCGTAGTCAAATGAAAAGTATTGTAGCAAGGACCACTGTAAAATGTCTAAAATTACCAACAGATTTTCCCTTAACCTGAAAACACCAAAAAGAAAAGGATGAAAGATTATTAATAATGATCAAACTACCATTTTTGTTATGCATGACAACATACCAAGGCATACCTAAAAAATTTGTTCATTTTGTAAATTTTCAACTATATATTAACAACAAGTGTATTACTCATTTTTGTAATTTAACCAATCATTAGACAACATAATTAATTTCATCCTTGATTAATTATTAGTAATTAAAACAATAACAATTTTAATTAAAAGCATAATAAAATGCAGATCTGTTACTTTACAATAGGAATTTGCATGCCATAAACATGATTCATTTAATTTTAGTTCCTAGATTCTGTTACAATTTTTTTACATAACTTTATTTCAGTATTTAATTGCTGTATAGCAGTTGAAAAGTGTCGATCAAGTTTCAACCTAGCATTATTTTTCCAAACTTATGACTTAATGGTAATTGGTTTCATTTGATTTTCTATTTTCTTTTTTCCTTTTTCTAAGGAATGTGGGGTCTCGGGTAAATCTTATACGTATGAACAATTGATATTATACAGTAAAAGGTTGGCTTGTTCATTGTTAAAATGTGGATTAAAACCATCTCAGACAGTCACTCTCTTTATGCCAAATATGCCAGAATTTCCAGTTTGCTTTCTAGGAATATTAGAAGCAGGTCTTACGTTGACAGCTATCAATCCAACATACCGTGCTGGTAAATCACCTGTTCAGCATTACTATTACTGAATATTCATTATCTTATATTTTCAGAGGAGATTGTCAATCAGATGAATGATTCAAGCTCGAGATTTATCATTGTGCATTACAATATGCTTGAAGTCATTCTTCAAGTGAAAAATCATTTTAAAAACCACCTTGATATTATATGTGTAAATGATTTTGACGGGAAAACGAGAGAACTTCCATCTGGAGTCAGGCCTTTCAGTGATTTAATCCAAAACAATATAGATGTTTCCAAACTAGATAAACAAAAACATAAAATAGACATTAACGAGTCAATAGCATTCCTACCTTACTCCAGTGGTACAACTGGACTTCCAAAAGGTGTTTGTTTGTCACACCAAAATCTAACAAGTAACGTTGCTCAAATGTGTATCAAGGAAATAAATACAATTCAAGAGACAACAAGTAATGAATAAATTTATATTCAAACTTGATTTTTTGAAAGTCAATATAATATTTTGCTTATATTATAGAAACCCATCAAGACACAATAATTGGAGTTTTACCATTTTTCCACATCTATGGCACACAAGTTGTACTAGTAAGATCACTAAGGGAGGGTTCTAAAATTGTTACACTACCAAAATTTGACCCTAAGCAATTTGTCAACATTTTAGAAAATAACAAGGTAATTTTTTCATTATGTTTTAATTTATATTATATATAATTGAATTTCTAAATTCTGGAAAACAGAACATTGTTCTTTACGCTGTACCCCCTATTATACTATTCATGGCTTCACATCCTTCTGTCACAAGTAAAACATTGGAGAATCTGCGGTTTACGGGGTCAGGAGGTGCCCCTTGTGGAAGCACAGATATCGAAAGATTGCTTACAAAACGGGATCACCAAATTGTTCAAGGTAATAAAAAAAAGATGTTATCAGATTAAATAGTATTAAAGCACGATTAAAACAATTCCAGCATACGGAATGACAGAAGCATCTCCAGTTTTGACACATTCTGTACCAGACTCCCCGTGTAAAGCATCAGTCGGTTATTGTGTATCAAACACTTTTGTTAAAATAGTCGACATCGAAACAGGAAAAACGCTTGGACCAAGAGAAACTGGAGAGTTATGTTTTAAAGGACCACAGGTGTGTGTTAATAACATAATGTGTTAACAGAAAACATCAGTATATTTGAACTGTCTTTTTAAGATCATGAAAGGATATTTAAACAAACCAGAAGCCACAGCAGAAACAATTGATAAAGACGGTTGGCTTCATACAGGAGATTTGGGATATGTTGATGAAAAAGGTTGTTGCTTTATAGTCGACAGGAAAAAGGAGTTGATTAAAGTTAAAGGTTTTCAGGTCAGTGTAAATAAAAAAAGAAACCATTAAAAAAAAGATATTTTTGACAGAAAACAAATCTTGTTTAGGTTCCTCCTGCTGAACTAGAAGCGGTTTTGCGACAGCATCCTTCATTGTGTGATGCAGGTGTTGTAGGTCATCCATGTTCAAAAGCTGGAGAAGTGCCTGTAGCTTTTGTAGTGGTGAAACAAGGAGTCGAGCGGCCTAAAGAAGATGCCATTAAAAATTTTGTGGCAGATAAAGTTGCTCCTTACAAGCAAATTAAACATATAATCTTCACTGAAGTAATACCAAAAAATGCCTCTGGCAAAATCTTAAGGAAGCAGCTGAAAGAACTGATCAAAACAGAGCTAAAAAAAGAAGAAAATTAAATGTCACATGCACTGAAATTAGTTTTGAATATTAGTTAGAAGTAACATCAAAAGTCACATCCAATTTTATATAATAATATTGAGTCGTCTGTTTAAAACAAAAAAAAGCACAAATTACACTTTCCAAAACATTTTGTCCAACTTGTAAAAGTTTAAAACATCATTGCTAAACAAGTGTATATTGTAATTTGGTCATTACCGATCATTTTAGTCTGGTGTAAAAATCTGTTTTGTTAGGTCTGGATGACACAGTGAGGATAGGCAGACCAAAATGACTAGTATCAACCAAATTACACTTTTATCTACTCACAAAATCTCCAGGAAAATTTCACATATNATAGATAGATGGATATGTAGATAGATTAGATAGATATGTAGATAGATAGATATATAGATAAATAGATAGAAAGATAGATAGATAGAAAAATATATGTATTGTTTATGGCACTATGCAAGTGAAAAAATAATATATTAATTTTTTTTTGTTTTTTTTTTTTGAAGATCGGTTTTTTTTATATGTCTATGTTTAGATTTTTGTATGTAGAGCATTTCTCTTACCAAACTTCCCAAATTGCATTCTTTGTCTATGATTTGAATTTTGATAAAAATCCATTCAGGGCACTGCAGTGCAGGGTGACCTGCTAAGCTACCAGTTCTGGGTTCAAATCCTGGCATGGCCCTTGGAATTTTATTTGAGATTAATTTGAAAAAAGTATTGTAAAGTGGTTCAGTCACCTCTTCATCCACAACAACCAACAAGTAGTTGGAGATTAAGCTTCTCCTGTAAGACATCACATTGATGATTAAACCTTCTTGTCTAAACTTATTCTCTCCTAATTTTTTTTTTTTTCAGTTCTTATGCAATGTATTCACATACAAATTTATTTGAGTTGTTTTAAACATACGCTGTTTTTAATATACACTACCCTTCCTACTTGGCAGATTATTGACAATCACTGATTAGAAAAATTTTTAATATATTATATATCCCAGCTTATACTTGTACATTATTACTATTTTATAATTACAATGTTTTTAATATAAATATTCTTTTATATAAATTAATGTTAGAATAACTCATTTCAAACCCATTTTTTTCTTATGTGTATATTAAAATGCATTCAGTCATTAATTAATTCTTTTGGAATAGAATGCATTATTTATTCATAACATACAAACCTGAAGAAAACTGTTAGTGTATTAAATTATGTATAAATTTATTTTAAGTTTAAAAGACTAAAATAATTCAAAGTTTAAGACTATAAGATGTGAACTTTTTTTACTCTTTTGTTGGAATATTTTTGCCTTTTTCCCTGATTAATAGCCTATCTGGGCAAAATAATTTTCCTTCCATTTTCAACATTGTTTGATTTTAATGTTATATATAAATTTTGTGGTTCTTTTTGAATTTTATTTAATTTTTATCACATTATTGTATCACTACATGTTCTGTACACAGTAAAAGGACATTAGCCCATGAATAAAATAATAAATACATTAAAAAAGTAACTAGTAGAATGCATTCCTTAAATGTGAGACAAAACAAATTATTCAAATTAAATATTTAAGTGATATTGAAATTAGCTACAATAAATTTTAACAAACTAAAGTGAATTGGTGATAGTGTAGTACTGATAACTAACAAAATAACACACAGATCAACCACTGAAGAGGTTTAATGCTGAAATGCTTCTGACTGATATTTATTTTATTTCCAGGGAGAATAGACAAAGAATGTATTTATTCATTATGAAGGGAGACTAAAGTATTAGAATGGGAATGATCCAAAATGTAAAAGCTATAAAAATATATTTACTGATATTTTTTAAATAAATGTCTAGTTCTGAAGGTGGGTTTGAACATTTTGGCAGTTTATATTTATCACTTGGTCAGAATTCAAAATGTTAATGTATATCAAAGACTTGTTATAAATCTCCTCCTATCTGTCTGATAGAATCCTGAGAGTTAAGGTTTCAATTCTATCTCGTCTTCTCTTTCTCAATTTCATCTGATATACCACAAGACTCTTTTCTTGGATCTTTACTATTTTCCATGTTCATAAAGATCTTCTGTTAGTTCTTAATTTCATCTATATGCTGATGATACTTTATATTCAATGTCTTACAAGCAACATCTATTTGCTCAACCGTTATCTTCATTCTTTCAATCAATGGTCAAATAATCACGATATTCTTTTAAACTCTAACAAATTCCAGTCATTACTAATTAAAAGAAAATAAACAAATAAAACGATTGCCTAACTCTTCTCATATCAATAGCTCCCCTATTATTTTTTGTCCTAAAATTAAAAATCTCAGCAGTATTTTTAACTCCAAGCTTACATAGCAATTATTAAAAAAGTTGACTCAACCTCCATTCCCTTGTGGAGCTTACAGAGATTAGCTTCTTCTCACTACAGAAAACTAGAGTTTTCCTTATTATATTTATAATAATGCCTTTATTCTCTTATTGAGGCGCCATGACTCTCAATCTGCTCATCGCCTTCAAATTGCTTATTATTCCTGCATTAGATTGTTATGATCTTAAATCAAGAGGTCATATTTTTTCCCATATTAATGCCTTCAACAGTCTTAACATTCTAAGCACTTATAAACTTCTAATATACATATGTAAAATTAAATCAAATAAATGCCCTCAATATTTATCAACTTTTTTTCCCACATTCCTTATCCAAACGCACCAATCATATAGCTTTCAACACGTCTTAAAAACTTTAGCCTATTCTTCAGAATTGCAGGACTATAGAATTGGCTTCCCCGGTAAGTACCTTCTGCTTGCTCGCTGGCTTGTTTCAGGTACATGGTATCTGAGATTTTAAAAACAACATGAATTATCTATTCCTTCTTTCTTTTCTTTTCCTCATTTCCTTTTATCTTCTTTCTCTTTCTGCTTTTCTTTCTTAATGAAGTTTCACCATTCGATTAAATATTAAATGTATGGTGTTTAGTGACTGTTAGTTAACTTTTAAATAATTAGTAAACTGTTAGTTAATAATTATTTGGAGATCGTGAAATGCAGTCTGGTGTGACAGCTTTTAGAAAAACATTTTCTTTATCGTGCCAACAGCAAAGGATGAAGTATTTTAGAACAACAAATTTTTCATTTTTATGCTGATTTGACCTTTATTCAGATCACCTTCAGGAATGATGAATTAAAAAACGTATGTTGATTGGAAAAAATGCAATACAGATGTAAATAAAAATTTTGAACCAAGTATTATTTATATTTAAGTGTATTATTTATAATGATTCAAGTGGATATTGAAGCCAAATTACAAATCCTTGCATATCAAATCATTATAGGCTCATATTGAAGATTAATAATGTAATGATTATTTGGAGATCATGAGATGTGGTCTGGTGTGACGTAGGTTTTAGAAAAACATTTTCTTTATCGTGCCAACGTTTCAATCTGTATTGAGATCATATTCAGGGCCTGGGATTTACAAACATTGTTTAAATTATACAAATACATGTAGGATGTGAAAAAAGTGAATTTCTAGCATTGTATAAATTCACATTTTCAACATCTCAGTATTTGTACAATTTAAACAATGTTTATAAATCCCAGGCTCTGAAGATGATCTCAATAAAAACGTTGGCTCGATAAAGAAAATGTTTTTCTAAAACCTCCGTTACACCAGACCGCATCTCACGATAATCAATAATCAATAAATATTTAATAATTTAAAGAATATACTACTAATATATATTGCTATTATTATTATTTTATTATGTTTATATGAATGAAGAATTTATTTCTCAGATATGTACATGTAACGAGGCTTAAGGCTTTATTTATACCTTTAAAATAAATATATTTGGCGTGTTGTATATATTATACTGTTTGTAACATTTTACATAGGATTGTTCAAACATGGCTGGATTTGTAAATATTTATTATTGAATTTAAATTAAACTTTTTTTTCTTAATTCTATATATATATATAGTATTTGAACAAAAAAATTGTAGATTTCTGCCAAAACTTCTTTGGTTTACTAAATTATTCCCAATTGATTGGCCCTATGACGTGACAACCATTAATCATTTTGCTTTCAGTTTACAAGAAGTTAAAGTAACAATGTAAGTATATGTATAAATAACACAAACAAGCGTATCAAATAATTCTTTCAATGAATTAATCTTTTTATGTAAGGTTTTTGGTTGAAATGAAAAAGCTAGTGCCAGATTCAAACCCATGACCTTAGCTAAATACGCCGCTGCTCAACCACTAGCTTTTTCATCTCAAAGAAGTAATTTGGTCAATTGGCCTCGAAATATAATGGATTTAATATCAAATAATGATATATACTTTTTGAAAATTGGCGCTATTTCTGTTGTATTTCAAAAAAATTGAAGAGGTTATTGTTATCAAGTATTAGCACTACACAGAATTTCCCTGGTTTGAAAATGTCCTTCACCTTTTTTGTACAAATAAGACAACTTTCGACTACATCAAGCCTTTGGGGTAAAAGAAACTTTAGGAAATTTATTATACCAAGCAGAGGGACAAATATATTCAAAGAAAGGCAGAAAACTAACCCAGATCCTGACATACCTTTGTACAGTAAGTACTCACTCTCAGAGTCATGTGATAATAAAACATTTATGTACTAAGAGCTTTTATTATTTTAAATTAGGTAATAAAGCGTTATAAATCTGTATTCAGAATGGCAGAAAAGTTATTGGTAGTAAATGTAGTAGTTTATTTTAACTTAATCTTGGATCAAATTAAATTCAGTTTCTTAGATGTAGTGCTTTCTTACTGTTTTAAGTCGTCTTTAAATCAAATGTCATAGATATATTATAGACATATGCAAACAGCTAGAATACTTGTGTTATTTAAACCTGCCATATGTGGCCAGGATACTCAAAATTCCCTGTACCGTTTCATAGCGATGAACATCCTTCGTAATTGACACGTTAGACTGTTGAGGCAAAAAGTATAACTGATGCTGGTGTTCAGTTAAATTTCAGACACAACTGTTGTGTACAGTTAAATTTAACAAGGAATATCAGTCGTACTGAGCAAGAATGGTGTAAAATCGCCTAGGCATAGAAGTTACAATACTCACTTCTTCGTGACCACATCCCTGATCCTCAGCAAATTGGTGATATCTAGACAGTCGATTCATCTTATCTTCGTAAAATCTTCTCCGATAGTTGGGAGATGAACAACAGAGGAATAAATTGTCCTGGAAATATTTCACTGTAGAGAAGCTATCACTTTTTTTTTACATGGGTTCACAACAGCGCTAAGCACTCAAGCTAAGTGACAATATTACAAGTCCATTTTCAGTCCAATGTCAGAGAAGTTTAGAACTTTTTGCACTTTAAACATCATAAATTATATAAATGATTATCATCTTTTTCTTTTTCTTAAAATCCACGGTTCATAGCAATTCTTATCCAAAGGTTGAAAAATCCCAAGTTCTCCATGGTTGAAATATTTGATTCAATTTTGTCTATTACATGAACGTTTTGGGCCTAGGCCCATCATCAGAACCTCAACATGGAAAACCTCATGGCACAATTGCCATCCGAAGATATAAGTAATTTACAATTTTTTTAAAAATAAATATACCTGGATTATGCCATAGATTAGATTACATATATATTTCCACCCATTTTGAGGGGGATGTCGTCTCTCTGCCGCCATCTTCCCTTATCCGCTTGAGTCTCCACTTTTCAGATGGTGATTATTGGTTTTTTACAAATTTGTCAAGCAGGGGAGGCCGGAAAACACAACTCTTGCCATACGCATTGGCTGGGGCAGTATGTAATACAGGTATATTTATTTTTAAAAAATTGTAAATTTTTACACTTATGTGTGTATCTTCGAATGGCAATTGTGCCATGAGGTTTTCCATGTTTAGGCGCTGATGATGGGCCGTAGGCCTAAACGTTCATGTAATAGACAAAATTGAATAAAATATTTCAACCACGGAGAACTTGGGATTTTTCAACCTTTGGATAAGAATAAATGATTGTGAAAAGTTATATAGTATTGTAACCCTTGTGCTTATGATTATATACTTCAAAACTTTTTCAGGCATTACTTTGTTTAATTAATATGAGATGTCCTATTGGAGTCTGTGGAGTTCTATCATTTCCAATCATATTGTTGTTTTTGTCTCCCAGACGCATTTCAGCTTCTGAAGGTGGCAAGTTTATTGAAGGTAAAAAAATTGAGTGAAGGGATACCATAATGATCAATAATATAAAAAAAAGACTAGCCAATATGAAAAACATTTTTCATAACTGATTTTGGTAAACTTCTGATTGGCCTTATGTTTCAAGGGAGATACTTATTTTTTCACAAATAGCCTTTTATTCAAAAACAGACCATGTGTAAGAATGTCGACTTATTGCAGATTTTAAATTAGATTAAAAAAGGAGTTAGCTTTACGACCAGTGCACTGCCATGAGTATTGGTCCATCGTGCATATCCATTTCTAGATTGTGCATCCTCATTATCAGATCCCAAAGCTATTTCAAGTACTTCCATGAGTATCCTTCAGGCCCGGACTTTTCTTTTCCCAGGAGTAGGAATCTTAACCAAAATAAGCCTTCACACCAACTGATAAACATGTTCTGCTGTCTCTTCTTCCTGGCACACACTTGTTTCTGCCACTCTAAGTCTGCAGTGTCCAATTAGCAGTCCAACTATTACTCTAGTCCTAACACATTCTAGATTTAGTACTTGTGTTGTTTGAACTTTTTCTCATACCCATGTCCTGGGCTACATTCCCATTGAACAGAGAGAGAGAAAGAATTATTTTTAATCCATTTTTGATGATGTTTGATTCATGGATGGATCCACGTTTTTGGCATTTTGTTACACCGAAAAAGGGTTCAAGTTCAATAGTGACCTGATCAAACTTTCCATGGCCTATTTATCGGCTTAAATGGTACCAAAATCTTAATAGATCCAAATTGTCATTGGAAAGAAGATTTTTGTATATATTACTTTTTTTAAATATTTCATTAAACCATTAATCTGGTATAAATATTATACAATTATCTCAAATATAATTAATATGAGTATTCAATATTATAATTTTATATTAAAAATCAGGGGTAAAAGGCCAATTTGAAAGAAAACGCTCCATCATTGAGTCATTAATTGGTCTTATCGCTGATTTTTAATATAAAATTACATGTATTTGTTTGAAAAATAATAAATAATGACTTTATTATTTTTAAATTAGACTCTTTTGCCTCTATTAGAACTTGAAGTTATGGAAAGTTTTAATGTTTAATGTACTAACAATAACATTTTCATATTCTAGAATTCCGTCCAAAGGAATCAGGCTACTATCATAACGGTAAGTTTGTCAATGTGCCAGAAATGGTCCCAGAACTTGTCGTCCCAGATCTCACTGGTTTTGAGGTAATGTTTGAATTCTGCACTTTGCCCAATTGTCGTTCCTAATGATAATAATTGTTCCAGTTGAAACCCTACGTTTCATACAGAGCGCCTAACATAGCTGTGGCCGAGTTCACTGCCGAAGACCTCTTTCTAGCCGTGTACGCCAAAAAGATTAAAGAAGATTTTCAAGCGGGCAAGCTCGACGGGTCAGGCAACGCAGTCGAACCGTCCCCAGAGGAAAAGATGACTGCAGACGAAGCTTGGATCAAAGCGAGGAAACCCGGTTCTGACATATTCACCCAAAGGAGCCGGCGAGAGGAAGAGGAGAAATACTTTGTTGAATAATTTATTTCTGTGTAGTATATTTGTTTTTAAAAAAAGTTATTTACATTAATTAATTTTTACATGTTTCTTTTCCCAATTTTTTAATCTAAATATTGCAGCAATGTTAGAACCATCAAAGGAGTATTGACTGAACCAAAATAAGTAATTTAAAATTTACAATGGGTTACTCCATACTGGGCCCTTAACAAATAAATATAATTTTTTGGGAGTTTTTGTTTTAAAAAATTAATTAATTAATTAATTTTAAAAAAATTCCATGTGGGTTTTTGGTAAGTAAATACATTAAGCATTTATTTGGAAGTTCAGGAATTTACACCCATCAGAATTTACATTTTATTATTAGCTTACCTACCAATTCTATCATAAAGTATACCTTAAAAACATAAACTTTATAGTAACATGTAATGAAATTACAATGAATGAATTTACTATTTTTTTTTTAACTACATGGAATTGTTTAAAACAAAACAAAAATAAAAAGGCATATTAATCTTAAAATTTCCATATAATAAAAAATCACCTATAAGATAAAACAGAAGTTACAATTGGTCTAAAAAAAAAAAAAAGCAAAAACTAATTATTAACTAATCAAGGTTCTATCAAACTAATTATTAGCTATGAATTTTCCATCGACAATTTGGGTTCTGAGTACCAATGTGACACAATTGTGGAAGCAATTCTAATCTTACAAAACAATTTGTCTTCGAGTATTCCTTGACAGCAGAAGAGCATTTGACATGATGGCATGCCAGACCATGGTCAAAGTAAATGTCTGCTCCATCATAATTAACTCTCCAAATACCACATGAAAATTTTTACACAAAGTACTGGACTTCATAATAAATTTAAAAAAAATTTAAACAATTATACATTTGAAAAACAATAGCATGGGGTTGTGTTCCTTAGGCAGAAGTTACACTTACGTTGCTAGAAGTGGTTGTTTAGAGTTCCTCACCTGAGAAAAGATCCTAGGCCATTTCCCAATCTAGGTGCACTTCATTCCAGAAAATGAAAACCTCCTAATTTAGATGCCAAAGCTTCCCGGATTCAAGTGTTAAACATATCCGGGATATACATTCCACATACTTTACGAACTTACTTCAGCATCATGACCCCACCCGTATTGGAAGAGAAAGTACTATTGCCTTATCTTAATGCTCACCCAAGATAAAGCATTGAGGTGTACCACGCAAAGCTGATCAGCTTATTTTTCTTTGTCTTATCGTGCAGATATTTTTTGGCATTGCACCAATTTTCAATTGAAAGTTCTGTATCTAGGATGACAACTTATTTTATTATTTCAATTCAAAATAGGTTTGACTCTCTTTCACCATAGAATGTGAAAAAAAATTGATGTGAGAAGTTCCACATACTTCAGCATCACCTCATAATTGTCAAATGCTCCTTCAAAATCCAAGCAACCTGCAGCAAGTTTTCTAATGCTCAGCTATTTCCCAACTTACAAAACAGCTTTTTAAATTTGACAGAATCAAGTTTATACCACAGCCTTCAGGTTCCCTTTCTTAATTCTGTATAGGACAATTTTTTTTAAATGATAATTGGTTGAGCAGATGGCCTCTAGATGACAAATTTCCACCAATTTATACATTTCCATGACTTATATGCTTTGACTCATTAAATTTAATAAATTTTAGTTTATATTAATTTATATATTAAATAATATAAAACTATCTAGTGACAAATGAGGTGATACCTTATTTAACCACTAATAGATTCTATGCAATTGTTTGTTCACAAAACAAGTTTTTTTTTAAATTATTAACTTATAATTAATTTTATTTTTACTTTAAGACATTATAGTGCTAAAATTAAATAAGATTGGGTTGTACATTTATTCTTGAAAAAAGGATGTTTTATAAACCAATTGACATGCTCCTCCGTGTCTTGATTAAATCAAATTTTTAAGAAAATTGCCTTCCTTCCTGTCTCATTGCGACATTCAATGTGGTCAAGAGGTAAAAACTTCAAGTTACAACAAGAAAAAAAAATTTATTCTGTACACTCTTATCGAATACATGAGATACACGAACAGTATCTCGTGGAACAACTACATAACGAGAAAACTGCAATTTGTCATCAACATGATTCAAGTTTTTATTTAAAACATTCTCACAATCGAGTAACAATTTGTTTGCTTTTTGAAATTCACAGTCTTGTTGGAAACAGTGACTCAATCATTACGAACTGAACATTTTTTCCAGCTTAAAGACGAGCAGTTTATCTTGTATGTTCATAGTACCATGATTTGAGTTTTTTGTAAAATATAATAGCACATTATTTCAATAATTTCACTGCTTAAAAAAAAGTATTAAAAATTTATACTAACAATTTATGAATACTTCATAAATCATTTTATTGTTTTTCAATCAATTATGATCAACAGATGTATTTATAAAAATAAGTATAAATTAAAAAGAAAAACAATTTTTATTTATCACTACTTCTTATCTTGATGGTGGTTTTTATCACTGTGATGTTTACCGTTATGATGATGATGCCTGTCACTATGGTTCTTATCATAACTGTTTTTGTCACATTGATTATTTTTGTCATTGGGTAACGAAATTCCATTAGTAAGGGCAGGCCTTAGAGTTTTCTGAAGTACGTGAGCATCTGCAGGTTCGATCCTTTTGTAATAGTGTTTCTTCGTTTCGTGAATCTCAAATCCGAATTTCTTGTAAAAATCTATTGCACCTGTGTTATTCACCTGTACATGCCTTTAAACAAAACAAATTAGTAAATTAGTTACTTTTTTTTTTTTAATCTACACTTACAAATAGACATTATCATAGTTTCCATCTTTCTGGACGTGATTCAGGACGTGTTCCACCATGGTTGTGCCAACTCCTAACCTTCGATATGGCGAGAGACAACCGAGTGTCATTATGTACAACCTACGGGAATTGTCAGAAGTGTCAACCCGGCAGCAAACGGCACCAACGACTATATCATTGTAATAGGCTGAAAATTAAGTTAAACCCATAAATGTAATCCAGATTCAATGAACCGTTATATTTAAATTGCATAATATTCAGTAGAAATATACAAAAAAATTACTTATTTATTAATTTGATATATGATAAACAATTCTCAATCCATTGAATGATTATTTTAAAAAATGCCTTTTTGGATTTTTTATGAGTAATATTTAAAAATGTAAAAAGGTTGCCCAAGGCCAATGTAACTTTCAAACTTTATCTTATTTACATATTTATCAAATGAAGCAAATATTTTGAAATGTATTGTTCTAACTGGAATGCAATCAATTTTAATGTCAATGTCCTTTCTTAAAGGAGAATACCAGGGTTGATTATTTTGCAAACTAGGATTACATGATGACAAAATAAATTTGAAGTTAGTTATTATTTTAAAAACATTTTGTTAAGTACACGAACTATAAGTTAGTTATTATTATAGAAACAATGAAAAGGCATAGAAAAATTGGATATGACCTCAGCATTGCTATAACAGCTGATATTCCTAATTTTATCTACAAATCTGATTACAATATGACCTATATTTACTGCCCTAAAGAAATTCTCAATCATTAGACTATTCTAAAAAAATTTATTCCAACTTGACAGACTACTTTTACTACCATTCTGGGCAAAATCATTAAAAAATGCATATGATCAAAGAAACCTAGTTCTATTAAACCATCAGTTTGGTTTTTGCCAATTGCCCTACATTCCTGGACCTCAAAAATTGCCTGATGGTCAGGCAGGTTTTTTGAAATTTGGAACAATGGATGGGATGTCTAACCCACAGCGGCCTTATCTATCCCGTCCTAAAAGCTCAATTCACTCCTTCTGCTCCTTTCTCTTGAGCCACAACTTAATTATCAAATATAGATGCATTTTAAGTTAAAATACTACACAAACAAGATCCTGCGATGGATGCAAGTCCAGAACGAACAACCTTCAGAACCAAACTGACAGAATGCGTAACTCTTTTAAAGATTTGAGTTGTGCAAGAAAATTTTTTAGGTCCTTTCCTTTAACCTTTTACCATTATTAACCTTTTATCAGTTTAATCACTTTTGGATTTTTCATTCAAACAAATTTTAATATTGGTGACAACCAAATAATGTGAGGCCATGATCAGTAGAGATGGTCAATTTACTGGAAAATGTTCAACAATTCCACAACCAGAAAAAAGGCTTGTAAACAGTACTAACAGGTCATATAGTATGTCAAAACAAAAGTACCAATACTAGCAAAGCCGATGTGGGGCAAAAGACAGTGACTTTTTTAAATGTCAGCGAATCCTATGTCAGCTTTTTAATCATCCCTGATCATCATTATCTTGTTTAACGTCAACATATGTCATACAAATCTTTCTATCCAGTAAAGTGTTATGCAATGAAGCTTTGGACTTCCTCGACCGTGAACCTTGCTGTATGTTTTGGGCACATATATTTAGCATTTTAAGCATTTTTATCTGACATCTGGGCAAGAGCTGTCATCAAGGATGGTCAACTGTTGATTTTGTTCAACAGCACACAGACCACCTGATAAAACAAGAAAGTAACATTTTATAATAATAAATAAACCGTGACAATGGTGATTGACTTTATGTTTAAGCAAACCAAAATAAAAAAGTATGGATTTGAATCTAATAAAAAAAAAGTTATTTAGTAAACTTGCGTTTAAATGATAAATTGTTGTACTTTTGCACACTTTGATTATTTACCATCTTGGCATTTTAACAAGACATTTTTTTAGTATTTTAAGTAAATATTCTGGCAAAGACCGTCATCAGGGATGGTCAATAGTTCATAACATTCAATAAAGCCACGATTACAAAATAAACAAACATTCCAGGCTATTATTTAGCTGAATATGTATTTCATCAAGGACTGAAAAGATTATATTGTATTCTGGTCTATAAAGTAAGTTTAATTTAATGTGAAGCAAGACCACTTAATTGGCTTTATGAAGGTTTAAGGAAACTGAAATAGAACAAATGGGATAAAAAGCTTGAAATTTAGTCTTAATGCTATCAAATTTATATTATTAACCTTTTGTTTAAATATGAAATTAATTATTAAATATAAAAAATTTTGTTTGCTATTTGATTATTACACTTTTAAAATATACAAAAAAAAAAGTAATTCACCATATTTATCTGAAATTCATGAATGTGGACCCAAAAGTAGGAGGTTGTTTCTGATCGATTTTCATCAAAATTTTAATATAATGAAAAGCAAGACAGTTTAATTTATTTCATAAAGGTTTAAAGGAAAATCATAATAAGACAAAAGACACAAAAAGGTTTGAAATAGAATATTAATGCTATCAAATTAAAGTACTAACCTTTTGTTCACTAATTAAAGCTAGTAAACTTTTGTTTAAATGTGTGATTTTTTATGTTTTGTTAATTTGATTATTGATCTTTTAGCTAGAATTTAGAAGTTTGAATGTTAAGTTTTATATATTTTATTAGTTATTTTGTTATTGGTGTTTTACCAAGTTTTTTTAAATGTACATAGCATTTTAAGCATATATCCAAGTAAAGGCTGTGTTTATGAATGGTCAGTCAGCAAATGCACATTTAATAAAACCACAGTTATGAAGAAAAAAACATTCAACGCTATTATTTGGCTGAAATGCATATCTGGGCACAAAGGTAAATAACTGAAGTGTTACATTGTTTTTGGTCAAATTTTCACAGAATTTTAACACAATGAGAAGCAAGACTTGTTAACTGACTTTATAAAGGTTTAAGGAAACTGAAAAAGTACAAAAGGCACAAAAAAGCTTGAAATTTAGTCTTAATGCTGTTCAATTTATATTAATAATCTTTTGTTTAAATATGAAATTAATTATTAAATGTGAACATGTTTGTTTGCAATTTGATTTGTCCAAAAAATGAAGCAATCGAGAATATTTATCTGAAATTCATGATTGTGGACACAAAAATTAAATGTCCAAACGCTAAGGTAAAGTACTGAAGTGTTACAATGTTTGTGGCACGTTTAAGCAAACCAATTCTTTTTTCCCTCCCCACCCCTTCAAGATCCAACGTATATAAACATAAAACATCAATATCTCACTGGTACTCTCAACACGACAGACAAGAATGACACATCTACAAGGAAACAAACACTTTGAGTTAGTACAATTACTTTGATTGAATCTAAAATTTTCTAGCATTGTATAATCTTTTTAAAATCTAAAATAAAATTTTCTAACATTGTACTAATTCAATTTTTTTAATCTAAATTTTTTTAGCATTGTATAAATTCTTGTTTTTAATCTAAATTTTCTAGCATCATAAAAATTCTTGTTTTTTAATCTACATTTTCTAGCATTGTATAAATTCATTTTCTTGAATCTAAAATTTCTATTCTTATAATAAATTCATATTTTTTAATCTAAAATTTCTAGCATTGTATAAATTCATTTTTTCACACCCTACATGTATTTGTAAAATTTAAACAATGTTTATAAATCCCAGGCCCTGAAGACGATCTCAATAAAGATCGAAACGTTGGCACGATAAAGAAAATGTTTTTCTAAAACTTATGTCACAGCAGACCGCTTCTCACGATCTCCGCATAATCGTTTTTAAATGTGAAATTTTTGAACTTTTTGTAAGCCATCTGATTGCTGGGGTTTACACAGTATTTTTTAAATACTGTAAATGGTCAACCACTGATAAACAATCACTGAAGCAATGCATAAAAACACAAACAATTCTGGCTGTTATTATACTTAACGCATGCTAGACAGTGAATTAAAGAATCGAAGAGTAAGAGATTCTGGTATGTTTTTTTTACAAAGGTAGTGAACCTGATTAAAATGTATCAATGAGAACTGATCGAAGCTGGTCATCGGAGGGACGAATGGTGTTAAAACATCAAAATATGAAATTTTCTTTTCTTTACCTAATTTGGCGAGTTCGCCGACTTCCAGGACATCCTTGTAGAACTTCTCATTGTAGGAAACTGGGAAAACGACTGTATTAAGTTTCTTGAGCTGCTTGATGTTGTGGGGAGTGACGTCGCCCAACTCTATCCTTGACCTAAAGTCGATCAGACTCAATAAAGTGACGATAAATTATAAACGGCATCAAAAATACACACGAGGGTAAATTCAAAATGAAAAGCCAGAGTAACAAAAATACGATTGGGGGGAAAAAATGGAAGCGAATAACGGAAATATTTACCTGGGCATTTTCAAAGCTTGTCCGAGGCCCCAAGGATTTATGAACTAGGAGTAAATAACTGTTAATACGGCGGAATCGTCATCTGCAAAACAAATAAATTCTAGTGGCGGATAGGTTGTTGGTCTGATGAAGTGTGAGCTGGGTTGTTAAAATAAGATGATCTCACACTTCACCCCCTGCTATCTGCCTTATATTCACCTTATAGCATTCACGTGCTCTCTGACGGAAAACGCCGACGAACGGCATTACAATGCAATTTCATTCACACAAGGACTAGGGAATTTTCAAGGATTATTTTTTCCACCAGGATAAGAAATGCAATCTAATAAATTTCCAACGTTTTGATTATTTTGTTAAAAAATCAACTACGCAAATGTGAAACGATTTGTGATCCGATGGGCTGTTGCATCCTAAAGGAGGGGCGAATGTCTGCAGACTGTCGAGCATGAGAACATTTGAAATTTTGGGGGGAATACCATTTTGCTTATTATTTACCACCTTTTTACCCTCAATTATTTCATTATTTAGCGAAATTATCTTATTTAATATCAAAAATGTCATAATTATCAAAACAACAAACAATTCAAACTAATTAGCTGAAAAAAAATGACAGTACATAATTATTAGTAGTATATAATTGAAGAGTACAAGACTGATTTAGTCAATTTTTATAAATAAATTTAAATTAATAAGAACCTCGAAATCTGGATCGTTGTAAAACAACTTACTGTGAGTAGGAACTATCTTTTTAAAAGGACTGAAACACCGCACTCACTCCACCATTCATCATTTCTACAGTAAGGTAAATTTCCCATGTTCAAATTCAATAGCCCTGCATTCAAACCCAACATACTTACAAATTTTTTTTTTCAACAACAAAAACATATGCACCCTGGTGGATGATACGACCTCTCCTGTTCCGAACCCATGTAAATAATAATTAAAAATTAGTATTGTAAATTTTGCTGTGGTCAGTTATTTCATTGAAAAATATAAGAGAAGAAATAGAAAGAGAGGAGAAAGAGAGAGAGAGAGAGAGAGAGAGAGAGAGAGAAAGAGAGAGAGAGAGAGAGAGAGAGAAAGAGAGAGAGAGGGAGAGAGAGAGAATGACAACATGAAAAGTTTTGGTTTATAGGACAATAATTATCTACATAAATAACAATGATATTGTAAACAATCCTAATAATAAATAATCATTGTAAAACAATATTTATAAAAGTACATTAATATATTCATTAAATATAATAATATTAACAATATAAAATAATTATTGATTAATACTTTTGAATTGTTTCTTATCAAAACATAAGCGGGAAAGCAATTAAAAGTAAAAGCAAGTGCATTATATTATTATGTCAACATTAGAGTGATACTTTTAGCTATTGACAGAACATTTTATTTATAGTTTAAATGTAAACATTTGTGTATTATTTTTTCCAAAAAAGATATAATATTATTTCACTATGTTTATATGTATTTCTAATATAGGTAATTGTAGACGGTTTAAAGTCCTATTTATACCTTTAAATAAATAAATAAAAATAAGTGCAATATTTTCTTAAGACAATATAAGAAGTTCGTTTTACTATTATCAATAGTTGATACTTTTTTTAGATATACATTTTTTTTAAAATTTCTTCACAAAATGGCAGCAGGCAAGTAAAGTTACAGATAAAAATATTTATAAAAATTACAAATTAAAAATGTAAAGACGTCAATTAAAAATTTAATTTTTGCTATTATATAAATATTTTATTTCTAGCTTAAATGTAAATATTTTAAAATTATTATTTTATAAAAATGTAAAAGTGGAAGCTTTGACCACATCGTCTGAGCGGTGGTAACAGAATACATTTTCATTCTGGGGGGGAGCGAGTGTCACATTTCTGTCCGGCCTTAGATAGCGCATTTTGGGGGAACCCACAGCTGAGACCTTCATCCATCAGCTGTCTCTCGTGTCTGCTGGAGGTGGGTGAAGTTGGTTTTATTGTCCTCTCATTTTTTACCCGATCAAATCTGTAAGTACAAGACAAAACACTATTTCGCCTGCCCCGTCCCGTAGATTTGCACGATTTTCAATTTGGCCCTTTTTAATAAATCTACGGACCTTTTCGACCAATTTTTGTTTTATTGGGAGAAGAAAAAGTTACAGGCAGACGGGGTAAAGATCAAAACCCTCCGACACTCAGGGTTTTTTTATTTGGTTCTTTTCGGCCAGCTCTGGTCCATTTTTACATTCAGACCCTTCAGAAAAGACTTTCTTAATAGAATAATTCTATAATATACGTTTTGCGTTAAGTTTTATTTTGTTTCAACTCGTAGAAGGCCGTATTGACACACCTAACAAACGTTAACTGGGCAACGCCCACTTTTTAAATGGCATATATTTCTTTTCGAATTTTCACTTTAAAACGCTAATTAAATCAGTTTTTAAGCTCATTCGAACTGCACGCGTTTAGTTTTAAACTCGCTAGACACATTTCGGCCCAATTTTACCATTTTTCTCCATTAAAATTTTTTGTGACCTTTGAGACAAGCCTGAAAAAAAATTCTCATAAGGGCCTCCCCACAAAAATTCCATGGTACAAATATAAAAATTAACTTTTCTTTTTCAGATCCGGCCTTGTTTTTCTTTTTCACGAAGAATTAAAAAACACTGAAAATGACTTTACCGAAAATAAGAGACGAGGAGAAGGAATCGCAGTTTGGCTATGTCTTCGCCGTCTCCGGCCCTGGTAAATATACAAAAAAAAAAAAAATCAAATTTTTACAATTTTCACAGGAGAAAATGGGGAATTTTTTTTTGTTGATTATGTAACATCTTTTGCACCTGATCCTGCCTATTTGAAAATTAGACCATGAGGGAGTGCTAGCCTTCATCGTCCCCCTCCTGTCACACAGATAGCAATTTTTCAGTATTTGTTTGCTCAAATACAGCTTCTCTTTCTCTAAGGGTTTGGAAATTGATACAATTTGACATAAAAAATAATAGCCTTGCACACTTTGATGATGGTAAAGGATAGAAACTTTGCAAATTTCTTGTATTTGTCTACACTAAATTAAATTTGAACATATTTTTTAAATAAATTATTCTTTTTACGTAAGGTCTTAGTTGAGATAAAAAGTCAATGTCACGAGCGGGATTCGAACCCTTCGGCTAAATACGCCGCTGCTCTACCACTTGAGCTATCATGATTTCGATCCACTCGGACACCGACTCTTCATCTCAACCTACAGCCATTCGATTCTCAGCGACTTACGAAGTGGCCACGGGGAGCTGTGCCACTAGTTTTTCATCTCAACCAAGACCTTAGAAAAGATAATTAATTAAAATATTCAGTATGGTCAATTACAACTGCTAAATACATGATGGATTATTCAAAATTTAACTTATTTTTATTTATTATTTAAAAACAACTGAGTACCGATTTATACATGCTCAAATATGCAAACACACATGAGCCTATTAGCTTCTCACAGTCCACTGACAATTACAGCTTTTGTAATTTACAATAAATCGCGGACCAGCCTTGAGAATCACCCACCCTGGGTGTTGGCAGTATGGAGTCAGACTTGTTTTTTTCGTCCAGCTACCAAGGTTGGGCTTCGGGTGCTGT